CCTCTTCCTCTTGGTTTTCATCCTCTTCCATTTGTTTTCTTATCGCTCAGGCGCTCTCCTTCGTCAGCCGGGACCGATTGAGACATCCGCTCCCCTGGGAGTACAAAACAGAAAGCAAGAGAAAAATCAATGAGGAAGATGAGTGAAGACCTGGAGGTCCCATCAAACACTGAATGCCTCCGTCTGTGGCGGTATTCACACACACTGGATCGTATCTGTTAACCTAAAAGAAGAGCTAAGATMATTTGAAATGGGGTTCTGTGGAGAGGTTATGACCAGTTATGATCTTACCTGCTTTAGATAGCACATAGAGCAATCTCAGCTTTGTAAAAGAGAGATTAGTTTTGACCACACTGATGACATAAACGGTAGTTAGCTTTTCATACATCTTTTTTGTCAAAGTCAGGGCAAAATGTGTTCAGTAGGTTAACTAGGCTAATTAGCATTAGCCGATGATAAATAAAGATACTTAAGATATACAGTACTGTGTGGGGGATTTAATGAGATACTAATTAATGAGTAAAAAAAGTTKATTACTCCAGCTATAATCACTTATCATGCACAAGTCAGCCATATTGAATTTTGAGGTGGCCATATTGGATTTTCAGATCGGGATGGGTCAAGAATCTCCATCTTTCTAAGACCTCTTCAGAGGTTTGTGAGATGATGTTTCCAAGTTAATTTCCCCTTCTAGGTACAAATGTAATGCGCTAAAGGTCATCCAAAAAGCCATGCGCAACAGGTAAGATATTGGCTGTTCGTATTACAGTGAAATATCTGAACTGTAGCCTTAACATGAATGAAACGGAACCTTTTCTGAGAATGACACACGTATGTTTATTTCGTTAAGCCTCCAAGCTGCAACACAACACAACACAACCTCAGGCGGGGCGTTAAATGTTGGTCCAAAAATAGAACCGTTCAGATGAAAAGGAGGATAAATAATGCAGAAAGAATACAAAACGTCTTATGGGATAACTGGTCCCTCATAGAGGCGGAACGATGAAGAGGTGAAGGCATGAAACAGGAAAGAGGAGGACCCAGAGGAGATGTACACATGCTTCTTACTTTATCTCCTCGTCTGCCTCAGTATTTTTTCCCCCAGATTTCATGACTGYGTCTTTGGGGAGGAATAATCTTGTCCCAGCCATGGCGTGTTTTTCCTGCCCACCGGAGCCCAGACACAACACCCAACCCTGTCGCCTCATTATTTTTTCATGCGTTTTGATCAGAAAATTCCTACACATTTACACCAACCTGAACAGATGATCCTTTTTTCTTTTTTTTTTTCCTTTTTAACATGAAGATTGCTGAGTCACTATTTCGAGAAGAGTTTGTTGCTTTTAAATCCCTGCATTTGTTTATCATCACATAAAAAGTCTGTGAGTCATTTATTAACATTTCTGGTTAGAGGGTGCTGGGTCATATCGGATAAATAAAACATTGAAAACAAACATTTTCAAAGGCTCGCTGCTGGATGCCTAATTTCCAGCTGGGACGTTTATTCATTTTCTAAATTAAAAATGCATGTTTCTGAGAAAAATCTGAATTTCATCACTCGGCACTGTGGGCGTTTATGCTTGAGTAGGGCGACACCTGGTGGTGGGACGCAGGTATGGCTTCTCATTTTCAGTCCCTGGTTTGAACAAATTGAATTAGCGAAGGTGGACGATTTTACTCAAGACTGTTGACAAAATATATTTTGAACCACTGCATGAATTTGAATAAATCTTTCAGAAAATAATCTTTAGATTTCCAACTACAGCTGAATAACTTTTGGAGCCAATCCAATTGTAGATAGCCGCCATATTCAACCAAACTTAAAAAACACAAAAAGGGTTATAAAACAGCCAATTTTGCAGACATGAAGTTATAATTTGGTGTGTTAGTAGCTGGGACCAATATCCAAAACATATTCTGAACGCTAACAGATTGAATAAGATTTTCTTGTTTTAATTTACACTAATAACTAGTTAACTTTTGTCTGTTAGCAAAATATCTCATTAACCAGTGTACAGATGCTAATTAAACATTCAGGAAATTATCTCTGGATGTATCTCTACAACTGATAACTTTTGAGGTCCAACCAATTCAATATGGTTGCCAGAGCTAATTGAGCTTAACTGATACAAAAGTGACCATAATTCAGTCAGTTTTACAAATATTGAACAGAGATTTGGCCTGGTAGCAGCTGAGACTGATCCACCAAGCTCCAAAACTTTGCCACTAAAAGTTTGGCGATATGCATTTCTTCAGTGACTTTTAGACTTTTAATTTGAAAATCAATACATTTCTTTGTATTAGAGCCTGGATCTGATTTATAAACGGATTTTAAAAAACAGAAATAAGCATATTAGTGATGCATTCAAAGTCCACCCAGCAGTCCACAGGTCTCACAAAAGGCTCCATTCAGCAGAAAGCTGAGGCCCGGCTCTGCCAAGTGTTTTCACTTTATTTGGACATGAAATCAGCCCTGAAAGCAGGACAGGAATTTGAAAACCTGCTGAAAGTTTTCCTCTCGGCTCATCCTGACCTGAAGGCACAAACTTCACGTGAGACAATAAACTGCTGGGTGCGTCAGAAAGTCACCGGGTGATTTCCACTCCTCTGGTTTCCTTGACCAGATTTAATTAGGTTTTCTGGGGTGGGTGGGGGCTGGTTCTGAATGGGGGTTCGGACTCTTTGGGGCCTCTCTCGGAGGCTCCACAGGTGCGTGTCCCGGCGGAGGACGCGTCACCTGCGGTGCTCTGTCTGCGTGGCGGCGGTGTTTCTGTTCCTCCTGSGAGTCAGCGTCTTCCACCTGCCGGACAGTCACCTGGCGGAGACCYCCCAGGTGACTCTCCTCATTTGGACCCGTCCGTTCGGGCAGGACCACCGGTTGCCGGACTGTCGGAAGCGGTTTCAGGTCGACGGGTGCACGCTGACGGACGACGCGGGCGCGTACCGTCGGGCGGACGCCGTGCTCGTTCACCACCGGGAGGTGTCCGCCGGACTCGCCGAGCTCCAGCCCGAGCCGCGTCCAGGTGCGCAGAAGTGGATCTGGATGAACTTCGAGTCCCCCACGCACAGCCCCGGACTGTGGCGCCTCGAGGGGCTCTTTAATCTCACCATGAGTTACCGCGCGGACTCGGACATCTTCCTGCCCTACGGATACTTGGTCCCCCGCGCGCGCACGGACACGGGCACCCTCCCGCTCAGCTACTCAGAGACCCCCCGGAGGCTCTTCGTAGCCTGGGTGGTCAGCAACTGGTCGGAGACGCACGCGCGGGTGTCCTTCTACTACCAGCTCAGCAGGTTCATTCCGGTTGATCTGTACGGGCGCGCGGGGCTGCCTTTACCGAGCGGCGTCGATCACGTGGTGCAGCTGCTCGGCAGGTACCAGTTCTACCTGGCCCTGGAGAACTCGCTGCACACGGACTACATCACCGAGAAGCTGTGGAACGCCGTGAGGGCCGGCTCGGTCCCGGTGGTCCTGGGTCCGTCCAGGCAGAACTACGAGCGCTTCCTGCCCAGCGAGGCGTTCATCCACGTGGACGACTTCCCCTCGGCGAGGGGGCTGGCTCGGTACCTGCTGCTGCTGAGGAGCGACCCGGTCCGGATGAGGCGGCACCTGGACTGGAGGAGGGGCTACAGCCTCCACCAGCCCGACTTCTGGTCCGAGCACTACTGCATGGCGTGCAAGGCGGTGAGAGGGGCCAGAGGACGGACTGATGTGGTGCGAGACCTGAGAGGGTGGTTCCAGTCCTGACATCTACCCCCAACACTAATTAAACAAGACAATGTGAAGGATGACACAGTTCTGTCTCATGATGGAAAAACATCTCACCCCAGCTGAGAAGGACCAGAGGACGGACTGAAGGGGTGCGACACCTGAGTCCTGAAAACTACCTCAAACTACCTCAAACTCTAATCAGAAACAGAAGAATGACCCAAATCTCTCCTATCTTACCCCTACTACCAGCTTTCTGGTTTAAAAACTACTGACTTGTACTTTTCAGAGGTCTATACTTCAAACAAACAAACAAACAAACAAACAAACAAACAAACAAACAAACAAACAAACAAACAAAAAGAGTAAAAGCTAAGTAAAACTAAAATTACACAAACAGAAAATGTTTTTCAAAAATTCACTGATGAGAAAATTAAGTAAAAGTCATAAAACTGTTCACAAAAATTGGGAAAGTAAARGTACTTTTACACACTCTCTAAGAAATAAACTCTTGAATTTGATGAACCAAACTAGTTCCACTAAGCCAGGTTGAGWAAATTAAACAATATATGGATATTATTTGCTCAATTTACTCAACTAGGCTTAGTGGGGCCAGTTCACAAGACTTTGTTGAATAAATTCAACACTTCTTGTTTTTAGAGTGCAGAAACATATTTCATGATGAGTTCAAACATATTTAATTTTGAAATGAGAAACTAAGTGTTACATTTTAAAGTAAAGAACTAAAAGTATTTTTTAGCTTTAAAATGTAATGAAATAAAAGTAAAAGTAGCTATTTAAAAATTAATTGGTAAAATACAAATCCTCAAAAAATAAAAACTACTTAAGTACTGTAACAAAGTAAATGTACTTAGTTACTAGAAACCTCTGGTACTTTTAATACAACTGACTTGTAGTTTAAATATGAAACACTTGAAAGTTTAAAAAACGCCAAATTGTAGTATAAGTTTTGCAGTTTAAATACTGACTTGTACTTTTAATACTACTGACTTGTAGTTTTAATACTGCCAATTTGTAATTTAACTCCTACTGACTTATTTAAAACTTACCAACTTGTAGTTTTACTACTAATGACTTGTTTAAATACTGCCAACTTGTAGTTGAAATACTAGACTGCTCAGGTGATAAGGACTGGAGGAAGACCCTGAAGCTGTAGTTTAACTCCTGAAAACTCTTTTAAACTCCAGTAAAGATGGTTCTTATGAAGATGACGACTTGCTGCTTTCAGAGTTTACATTTAAGAAAATATATTTTATTTGTTTTTGTTTGTAAAGCTTTAACATTCAAATAATATATAAATTACAATTTTTTTTATCTGTCACTGTTTAAGGTGAGATTAATGTTTACGCTGATGGTCCTGAATGAACCTGCTGTTTTATTTAGTTGTACTCTTTGGAAAATGATCAGCAGCACTTGATTCATTGTCTGATTTTCACCAAATAATCAAAATGCTGCCTTCAGTTTTAATGTCATGTCATGTTTATACATTAATGAATTTCACCACCAACAACAAAAAGACATAATGAGGTTGATATTTGCAGTTTATGATCTCACAGTTTTATCACCTTGTTTTGACCGATGATGTGTTATTAAGGAACCAAAGACTGAAAATGCTGGTAAAGAACAGAGAAGCACTAATATTCTCTGTCTCATCTGATTTAGTGATAAATCTGTTAATCCCAGTATCTCTGCCTCTGATCTGTTGTTAACTTAATACCAGACGTGGGTCGATGTAGGTCACACCTGCCTAAAATAGCAGGCTCTGCCTTTATCCATGTAGCTGTTTCTGGACTAAATAAAAGGTTTATTTGTGTATTTTGTCACAAATATGTTGGATTTTTTTTCTTGTTTTTTTTAGGTGTTAAACGTCACATGATCTTTTTGTGCTCTGATTTGTTTGACTAAAAGTGAATTTTTCTAATTTTATCTTTTAGCTGCTGAGTTTAGAGTGAAAAGTTCATTTGTAATTACTTGAACCCCTGACTCTGGTTAACAGGATAATTCTTGTTGCCACTATGCTGTGAATAATGTTGCTCCCTGCGACGAGCTAAAGCTCCAACATTAGCTAAAACCTCCGAGGCCCAACAGCTGTAATGACCTCACATTTGGTGTTTTCCTCTTAGTCTGACTCCTCTCAACAGTTTTTATTTAAAGCCTTTAGCTCTGCTGTCTTCCTGCTCCTGGCTGTTTGTGTCATTCTTATTGAACAAACAGGATCATCTGCACCATCAACCTGCACACCTGATAACATCAGAGGGAGTGCCTGCCCCGTCTAGCAGGCAGGTTCGGGCAGAACAGCATGTCTGATGTGCTTCTTCACAAATATTTAGCGGCTCAGCAACAGAAAATCAGTCACTCATCATTCATTAATGTTTCCTAAAAATCTTATCCTGTTAATCCTCGTGTTGGTGCTTTGATTTGAGATTAAATCAAGAAAAATTACAGAAAGTTATCATACCGAAATCACAACTCTGTGGTCTCCAGTGTTTAAAGGCTTCTTGTTCCAATAAAGCTGGACAGTAGCTCAGATTTAAAGATAAAACCTGATTTGTGGAGCTAGACCGCCTCCTCTGGTCTACTTCAACATTACTAACAGGAGTTGAATGAACACTTTTTGCATCCTTTCAGTATTATTTTTATAATTCCTGTAAAACCCTGAAAAATGTTTATATCGAACAAAAATGGTTAGCTTTGCATGAATCAGTTTTTAGAGTTTAACTTTTAAATTTTGCTTTTTCAAATGCAGATGAATTATTATAACCTTTATGTTCACTGTGTGTATGCAGCAATAATAAAACAATCCTTGTGACTGCAGACCTATAACTCAATTCATAAATTAATATTTAATCTGAGATAACCTGCCTTGTTCAGTCGAGCTTCAAAGTTTAAGGTCCAAACTGGTTTTACTGTCTTTTACAGCGGGTAAAATAAGTATTGAACATGTCACCATTTTTCTCAGTAAATATGTTACCAGAGGTCCTAGTGAAATGAAATTTTCACCAGATGTCGGTAACAACCCAAGTGATCCATACATACAAAGAAATCAAACCATAAATGTCCAGAAATGAAGTTATTTGTAATCTTCAAATCTTGAAGGTTTCATGGACCTCTTCTATGA